TATATGTTTATGAGTAAATAGTCTAAATGGTTATTGGTATTAAAAGCAATGTTCAAAAGCTTAAACCTCATACATCAGCAATAATTAATTGAAAGGATAATTTGAAAAGTAACTCATTTTAGAAAGATTTATTATGCACAATATCAACAAATAATCTTAAAAATGTAAAAAATCTCTTATACTTGCACTAAAAATCATATTGACACACGCTAGTAAATACAATTCAATTAATGATCATACATTGTCAATACTCTAAAGAGTAGTTTATTTTAATATCATTTTTACCAAAATTCTCACAGAAATTTTCATCTATGTCTGATTATTTGTCAGAGATGAGGAAATGACCTAGAATAGATCAGAAATGCTACCTGAGAACATAAGAGAAATTTCCCTGACAAATATCAAGATCTTTTCTAAAGCTAACAAGTATTAAAAGAAAGTTTACTGGCCATCCTTCTTTCCTCTTCAGAGAAGTTTCTCTGTAAGTCTTTAGCCCACTTATTTATTGGGCAGTTATTTATTTGACAAGCAGAAACAGTCAGATATGTTGATGTTAGGCAAAATGAACCCCAAGATAAGGATTCAAAGGTTTTTTTCTTTCTTGCGATTGTTTCTAATATATTTATAAGATGATTTCTTTGTTGCTTTGTATGTCCCTCCCCCACGGTATAACCCCCGCTTTCACTGTATTTGATGTTGGTATAATTTGTGGAGGGGAAGGGAAAAAACAAATCATTTAAATAGTGATACAGGTGGTCCCACTGCAACAATGAAATGTACAAGACATTATATCGAAAAACGAACTTTACAACTTTGGCAACTTTGGCTAGGGGACGGGGCGGGGAAGGAATGGGAAGGAGAAACAAAGGAGGAGGCAACAATGCTTGATAAGAAATGTACTCATTACCTTGCCCATGTAATTGTAACCCCTCTGTACGGTATTTTCACAATCAAAAAAAAAAAAGGTTTACTAATGCAAGGTAAAAAATAGCTTATTGAAATAGAAGACTTAGAAAATTTGAGTTGTGAAAAGCTAATCATTGAGGTTCACTGGGTGAGGTATAAATTATACCACAATTCACCTTGAGAAAATACATTACCAGTATAGGAAAAACAAATAAATTCTGCATAATAATATAAAGCAAGAAGTTAGCTTATAAAGAACCATTTATATAATTAAGAGTGTTTATGCTTAAAAACACCAAGCACCGCAATTGATAATTGTGTATAGAAGCAACATTGTAGGAGATATATGAAACACTTTTTATAATTTTCCAAATGCATTAATTTCAACTGTCTACAACTGTTAGCTTATGCTTTTGTGTGTGTGGTAGTTGATTTGTTGGTTTGTTGTAATGGGTTATAATCACTTGAACCACTCTAGTCAGCCCCTTTTGGGGTTCATTATTTTCAAGGTAGGGTCTTGCTTTATTCTAGGGCTAGCCTAGACTGTGATACTTCTATTTGTGCTTCACCTAGTTATTGTGCTCATAAGCACAGGTCACAGTGCCAAGCCATTTCAAGAAATTAAGCCTAGCTTAGCATCATCTTATATGGTCATATGTACATAGCTTTAGAGCTTTTCTGCTCATCTGATAAGTTTATCCAAATGTAACTTTATATGCCCCTATCTGTACTTGAATCATAACTTTTCACCACCCTAGTAGCTAAAATAACAAACTTGAGCCACCATGCCTAGCTATTTTAGGATTTTTGATTGGCACAATAATAAATCCATTATACTTAAAAACTCAAGTAAATCAATAATTCATGCAAATATCAATAAAATATAAATCTAAGCAGACAAACAGGAATTGGTATTGCCTGGAGCAGGTCAAAATTAGCAAGAAGGACTCATACATGCCCTTTACTTAGTCATTAATATCCTTATACAAAGCAGGACAGCATGTACACACTCCAACATTAATAAAGAAATATGAGAAAGAAGTATTAGATGTATAAATGCTTTACTAAATATTGAAGGGGATGGCATTGCCCAGAAACAACCTACATTCCTGCTGCAGTTTCAAAGTATCACTATAGACTAAAGAATATCTGTAATGATACTTCTTTATTTTAATAATTTCAACCAAAAAGGCTAAAAACAGCATGGTGGTTCCTCAAAAGACTAAACATAGAGCTCACCTATGACCCAGAAATCCCACTCCTTGGCATTTACCCAAATGACTACAAACCATCCTGCACTAAAGCCACCAGCACAACCATGTTTGCCGCAACATTTTTTTATGTAGCTAAGATACAGAATCAATCCAGATGCCCCTCAGTGGATCAAAAAAAATGTGATATATGTACACAACGGAATTCTATGCTTCCATCAGAAAGAATGGCATTACACCATTGGTAAGGAAATGGAAGGATTTGGAAAAAAGTTATATTAAGTGAAGTAAGCCAGACCCAAAAAAACATAGGCTGCATGGTTTCCCTCATTTGTAATAACTGGCATATGTCTAGGATATTCTCAGAGATCACAATGGCTCAATAGCTATGTGCATGCAGCCATATAAAATAATGTTCATCAAAATGAGCTCCAAGAAATGGAAACAAGAGGTTCTGTGGTTTTTTTAAATTGTACTGTTTTCAGATATTTCTTTTTTCTTTTTTCTCCCTTTGCTTCATTCCCTGATGTCACTGTTTTTCTTAAATTTATTTCTGTATTCTGTATCTTATATATAACTTTATCTGATTTAGGGAAGGGAAGGGGAATCACAAAAATGGTGGGAGGAAGAGTAAACAAATCCAAGTTATACTCACTAGAAACTATGTTGGAAATGAACTTTACAACTTCATGGGGAGGGAGGTTGGGAGGCAAAACAGTGGGAGAAAATGAGTGAGGGGGTAACAGTGTTCAAAAAGAACTGTACTGATTGAATGACTTATGTAACTGTAACCCCTCTGTACATCACTTTTACAATAAAATTTAAATTTAAAAAGACTAAAGCTTAATTGTAACTTAATTAATTGCATCTTGAAGAACAATTCACATTCTCAGTTTTAAACTATGAAAATATCCACACATGTTATCTGTACCAATTAGCTACACTCACACTTACCACACAAATTCTGAAACTATATTCTGAGACTTGTTTTATGATATGTCTCCTACTTTTAACTGATTGCTATTTTCTTCTAAGTCATGACAATAAAGATTGCTAGTTGTTGTTTCCATGAGGCAGTACAAGTCTTTTTGCTCTGCAAATGATTGGGCAATGAAACAAAACCAAGCATATTAGAAAAGATAATTGTTGACGCAGGGTGCTTTTTCGATTTGATTGCCTAGTAGCATTGCACTATAGGTTTGTTACATCTTAAACTTACTTTTACATCTAACTTGTAAGTGACTATTATTTTCAGGAAAATATCAGCGTACTACCCTAATATGATAAGACTGAGCATAGCAAAGCCACTTCAGAAGGATCTATGACCATGTGTTTGAGTATTTTGAAAATCAGTAAATCAATGATGACCAGAAATTTGACAACAAAAGTTTGAAGCCACTGTTTTACTTTTCAACAATGAGGTAGACTAGTATTTTGAAGTCTGGATATTTGGTGATACCTAAAACAATGTAATTGAAATAATAATTTTGCCCAAATAACATTACCTTGGTAACCAAAATTAGATATTTTGGGTGTGTGCATGGCTCTGGAGCTTGAAGTCAGATCTTCATACTTGCATGGTCTGCTTGCTTGGCTCACTGGCTTGTGCTCTATAACATGTATCACACTTCCCACCTACCTTTGTGCTGGATGTTTTGGAGATACAGCCTTGTGGTGTTTCTGCCCAGGATGTCTCTGGAATTCAGCCTCCTTGAGTAGCTAGAATTATAGGCCGGAGCCACCAGATGCTGGGTTTTCTATTTGCTTTTAGGTAGGAGGGCAATGTGAGATAATCAATGTCCCTATATTGTGTAAACAAGTGTCTTTCCTCAATCAGAATGAGAAACATTGATAAATAATAAGGACTCAGTGATGGTAGTTTTCAGGAGATGGGGATAACCGGCCAACAAAAACTTTATTATGGGTGAGAGTTTGAGAACCACAAGAACAACATGGGATCAATCATTTCTCCCTGACAGCATTAACTTCATAGCAAAGATTGTATCATTAAGTACTGCTTAACAAAATATCTTTCAATATTGCTCCAGATAACATATATGCATATATATATATATATGTAATTATAATTACGTATAATTTATAATTATATATGGTTATACATATATAATTATATAATTATACATATATATAATTACATATAATTTATAATTATAAAGATATATGTAACTGATGATATAGATACATAAAACATATATATGTATATATATATATGACTTTTCACCTTTTTCTTGTGAAAAAGTGTTGTACAAGTGAGTCTTTGGAATTTAAAGGTGTGATGTCTCACCTCCAACTGACAGAAAGGAGGCTTTTGATATTCCTTATTATGAATGCTCTAGGACATAAGAGACACTTATTAGATGCTGCAGCGGTCAACAGCTTTATAATTTTGCATGTTCTATTACCACACAGTCAATCTGTCAATACAGAACTTCTCAGTTCTATCCAACATGGTGAAATTCTAAGGAGTCGATTTTGCCATGTACATTGGAATCCTCAAGATTCATGCTGACATGGATTAAGGTGTGTCTTCTAAAAAGACTTGGAATAATGTACATGTTCTAGAAAGAGTTTGAAAGTTTATTTCTTTTGCAACAAATACCTCGCTTTTAAAACGAGAAGTCAAACTCCACATGCTCATTATGGTGTTCTGTTCATTCAATCATGAGGTGGATATTTTGGTTCATGCTATTTGAAAACTGAAAAGATTAAAAGGAGGAAAATTCTAATTGGCTCCGTGCTGCTGGGATTGTCTTAACGTTTGCGGAGGATTTACAAAGTATAATTAAAACTTAGGAAACTCAAGTGTTGTTTGGACAGACATCTTGAAGTGACACAATTTATTGTAATTTTCCCTTTTTCCAGATAATTCTCTGAGTATTTTGGCAAAGCATAATGGATTCAACCGGCAGAAGCAAGAAGTTTATCTTTTACCAATCGTGATCAGTGATAGTGGGAATCCACCGCTGAGCAGCACCAGCACCCTGACGATCCGGGTCTGTGGTTGCAGCAATGATGGTGTTGTCCAGTCTTGTAATGTGGAAGCTTACGTCCTTCCCATTGGACTCAGTATGGGAGCCTTAATTGCCATATTAGCCTGTATCATTTTGCTGCTCGGTACGTAATCTCTTCATAACCTATATCACCATCATTCTGTCTCTTTAATGACTGTCAGTGGATAGTAAATTTCAACCTGGAGAGTAGACAATATTACTTTATTGAAGATGATCTATCTTCAACCATATATTGTGGTCACTGATAGGAGGTGAAGAGATAAGTTTGTACTGGTAGTCATCCAATTAAACAGAGCTTTCAATCTCATTATCAGGGTAAAAGTGGGGAAAAGTAATAAAGCATCATAGCAGTGGAAGCTAGAATAAGCATTTTTTGTGCTTATCATCTCATCTAACATGTAGGAAGACCTCCAGTTCACATGATGCACATAAAGTACTTCCTCAATACTATTGCATCTTAACACTGTACAAACTGGATTATTGATTCTAGAGTTTGGTGAAATAAAGAGAAAACAAGCAGACAAAAAGCAATGATTTCAAAATTATAAGCAAGGTTCTGGGCTAGGAATGTGGCTTAATGGTAGAGTGCTTGCCTTGCATTCATGAAGCCCTGGGTTCGATTCCTCAGTAGCATGTAACCAGAAAAAGCCAGAAATGGTACTGTGGCTCAAGTGGTAGCATGTTAGCCTTGAGCAAAATAAGCTCAGGGGCAGTGCCCAGGCCCCTGAGTTCAAGCCCCAGTACTGGCAGAGAGAGAGAGAGAGACAGAGAGGGAGAGAGAGAGAGAGAGAGAGAGAGAGAGAGAGAGAGAGAGAGAGAGAGAGAGAGACAGAGAGAGAGAGAGAGAGGGAGAGGGAGAGGGAGAGAGGGAGAGAGAGGGAGGGGGAGAGGGAGAGGGAGAGGGAGAGGGAGAAGGAGAGGGAGAGACAGACAGACAGACAGAGACAGACAGAGAAAGAGAGAACATTCTATATTCCTTTTACTAAGAAACCCAATTAAGAAAACAAGATGAAGACCAGACATGGTGGTGAGACAGAACAATTTAGAGAATAATAAAAAAAGATAATTCCAACTTAAAAAAATAGAGAAACAGGTATGTCTGGGATACATAGAATATGTTTTGAAAAGAAAAAAGAAATAAAAAGATGGTAGGGCAATATCAATGAAGAGTTTTATCCACTGAGGAATAGAACATTTTAAGGATGATGTCAGTTGCTGTCCTACCAGTTACACCTGCCTTGAGCTTAAGTATTCCACCATTAACAATTTTATTCCATTATTTCAAGTTTCATTTTGATAACCTGGTTGGTAACGAATGTTCATTTCCTTTCCCCAGCACTGGGTCTACTTTCCAGGTTAAAAAAAAAAAAAAGAAGTTCCAGTCTTTATTCAATATAAAGAAATTTACTCTTATGTAACTGTAACCCCTCTGTATATCACTTTGAAAATAAAAAGTCACATGAGAGTAAAAAAAACTTATCCATAAAACTTTGATATTTGCTTGTTCTGTAGAAAACAAAAACCTGTTTTTCAATTGATCAGTAATTTAAAAAATTGCTAAAAACGTGGAGTAAAATATACCTCAGTCAAAATTGTTTGAACAGCTCGCTGAGGTCCTGGGTTCCATTCTTTTCCCCCAGTACTGGGGATTAAAACTGAACTCTGCTATAAGAACTCAGGGCCTTGCACTCTACCATCTGAGACACAGCTTCAATATTTTTCCTTTTAGCTTATAATTCACATAAAATATCCTTCCTCTATCTCCTGAGTAGTTGGAACTATCAATATGCACCACCATATCTATTTCCTGTTTTAAAAAAAAAAAGTCTGCCTGAATCTTAGCTACTCAGGAGCTAGCGATCTGAGGATGGCAGTTCAAAGCCTATCTGGACAGAATAATCCATGAAACTCTTGTCTCCAATAAAGCACTCAGAAAATTGCAGAAGTGATGCTGTGGCTCAAGTGATAGAATGCTAGCCTTGAACTCAAAAAGGCGCAGGGACAGTGCCCAATCCCTGAGTTCAAGCTACAGGACCAACCAAAAAACAAAACCAAGAACAAAAAAAAAAAGTAAAAACAAATATAGACGATAGACATACACCAAAGAATATTAAGTGATGTACTCACTATGTACAAAGAGTTATTATCTATGTGATTTTGTCTAGCGCTATACCACTGTGAAATGTAATTTTCACCACCAGTAAATGGAAATCTATTTGAGCCAATTCCATCATTACTTAATAAAAAGAAGTAATCTGGAATAACATTTACTGAAGCCTTAGTGTTTATTCTTCACAAAAGAGGCTAGATTAATTCCCTGATAAGGATGCCTAAGATTATTTTTTTGGTTTTTGGTTTTACATTGGCTTTCCTTTGAACATACATCATCTGGTCCTTATAAATTCTTCTATGATATTTGGCCAACTGTTCTTTAGGAAAGGTTTATGTGATTATTTTGCTCATTGTGATCTGATTTCTTTTTCCTCCGCAGTCATCGTGGTGCTGTTTGTAACACTGAGGCGGCATAAAAACGAGCCATTAATTATCAAAGATGACGAAGACGTTCGAGAAAACATCATTCGCTACGACGACGAAGGAGGAGGCGAGGAGGACACCGAGGCTTTTGACATTGCAACTTTACAAAACCCAGATGGAATTAATGGATTTTTACCCCGTAAGGATATTAAACCAGATTTGCAGTTTATGCCAAGGCAAGGGCTTGCTCCAGTTCCAAATGGTGTTGATGTCGATGAATTTATAAATGTAAGGCTTCATGAGGCAGACAATGACCCTACAGCCCCGCCCTACGACTCCATTCAGATTTATGGCTATGAAGGCCGAGGGTCTGTGGCGGGCTCCCTGAGCTCTCTGGAGTCCACCACATCAGACTCAGACCAGAATTTTGACTACCTCAGTGACTGGGGTCCCCGCTTTAAGAGACTGGGCGAACTCTACTCTGTTGGTGAAAGTGACAAAGAAACTTGACAGTGGATCATAAATCAATCAATGGAACTGAGCATTCTGTAATATTCTAGGGTCACGCCCCTTAGATACAACCAATGTGGCTATTTGTTTTTTTAGAGGCAAGTTTAGCACCAATCATCTATAAACTCAACCACATTTTAATGTTGAACCAAAAAAAAAATAAGAATAAGAATAAAAAAGTATATGTTAGGAGGTTATCGATCTTGTGGAGTGTGACTTAAGTATGTGGAGTGTCTAGAAGTCTTTGGATATTTGATATTTACTTGACCACCACAGGCAAAGATTGTCTTCCCTGCTAATCCTTAGAGAAACGGTTTTAAAAAAAGAGGAAAAAGAAATCAAAATTAAAAGGTGCTTTCTTAGGAAAAAACAAAAACAAAAATGGACCTGCAAGGAATCTGCTGCTGATTTGTGTCTACTGCAAGAATTTTTATGAATGAATGCAAATGGTTGATTTCCCCCCTTCACCACAAATGCTAAAGCAATACTTGGTCTGCTGTACATTATGACTTTGGGGAGTTTGGGGGAGGCCTCCTAGATTATACGGTACGGTGACCACACATTGTACATAGTTGTTGGGGCCCCACTCACCAGAGACTGAATAGCATCTTTAAATATTGTGTCGAGCCTTAAAATATTCACATGTTCGTAATCCATTCCAGGGTGGGGGGATTTGTCAAGTCAGTGGTGGGAAAAGAGAAATCCCATTCCAACAGGCTTGTTTTGTAGAAGCAGAATTCCTCCTGGCTCCTTCTCACTTCATCCCTCCTCTAGGGGGACACAGAGATAAACTGTATCCCACAGTGAACAACATCAGAGACAGATGGTTTTACGGCTAGCGCGTGAATTTATTTGTTTAATCTTCAAAAATAAATATTTTATCGATGTTCATTAATGCTTTTATTTATTAAGGTTGGTAATCTATAGATTAAAGGACTATATGGGAAAAGCGTAAATGATATCCATTAATAATCCTTTAGATTGTTTTATATGAATATATATATACAATGAATGTTTAATACATGTACATTTTGATGAGATAAGTATGGCAGGCAATATTATCAAAAGGAGAGCTTATAGTCTCTTTAGAGTAGAAAGTGTTATTGTGACTGGTTAATGGCAGAAATCGCATTTTCCCAGAGAAACTTTTAGACTGTTTTCTATTTTGTTCCTAGTAATTGGTGTTTTTACTACAAGCACAAACATCGGAAAGTATATTGACTCCTGTGAATATTTAAACTCTAGACTTTTAGATACTTACCTAAATCCTTGCCCAATAAACATGTTTCGGGTTGCCCCCACTCTTTTAGAACAGGAACCAATTTGTACATAATTTTATTGCTTATGTTTTTAGCATCTCTGTCCCCAATCATGGTGATACACAGAGTATCTTAGACTACAAAAGAAAAATAAAAAGAAAGGAAAAAAAGAGAAAAAGAACAGAACTAGAAGATGTGAGCATTCTTTTTAATTTGTAATGCAAAGCTGCCATGTCGGAGTAGAAAATGTATGATAAAACTCAAGCATTACATGCAGATCATTTTAATTTTCTACTTTGCTTTAATGCAATATTGTTTATTTACTCCATGTATTGTATTCAGAGAAACTCCTGTATTGTTTTCCTACTTTGTGAAATATATTTTTATAAATACCTCTGTTGTCATCATTCTTTTCCAGCCAAACAAAGTCATATTATGAAAATTATCGGCTCTAACTGAAATTCTAAAACGTTCAGCCAATTCATATCCATGACAGCTTGTACTTGTAATAGTCATCATGATCAGAGAAGACATACAGCTTGCTAATACTACCATGCAAGCGTACAACAGAGCCCTAAAATATAGACACAATATCTCAAAGGTAGTCCAACTGTCTCCTGGGGTCCCTAAAAGAAAGTAAATGAAAGAGCAGGGAATGCCTTCAGACAAGATTACAGATCTAAAATTTAAAAAATAAATAAAGGAACCAGAGAGCCAGACTTGACAAGAGAGACCCAGACTATGGTCTAGATCTCAAAATTCTCTTCCATTACTAGAGGGCTACCAAGTGAAATATGTCCATTAGAGCAAAATATCTCATTAGGCAAAAGTAGACTCTAGTCATCTGCCTTGTAAGTCACAGGCTTGGGATTGATACAGAAAAAAAATGAATTTGGTTTGAAAACTGGAGCTCCCATCTTTTCTGTGAAAGGAAGTTTGCATACTGTCCTAGGAGTTTCATAGCTACACAGTGGCTCATCCAATTCTTATCTAAGGCTTATTGTCTTAAAACAATGATGCTTTATGCTTATCCTACCAGCTGCTGAACACTTCCATGAAGTCAAAGAAAGGGTCCAATCTAATTTCTCATTCCCCAGTTTAGCACATGGTGTCTTTAAAAAGCTCTTGGTGAATGTGAATTATTAATAGTGGTTTCAGTAGTAATCAATATTGATATTACATCTTATATATTCTAAAGCAAGGTAAAAACATATTTTTGAGATTTATCTTGTTCAAGTGACTTGTTTCTATTTTATTTGTACTACAGTGCTGTAGATAAAACAAACATATTTAACAGAACTAGTTATTATTCTAGGAACATAAACTCTGTATATTTGAATGCTGGAAATCAATATAATAAACTCTCATTGTAGGATTTGGGGGGAAAGAGATATTGTCTTATGTACCAATTGTCCAAATATTCCCACAAAATTTACATTCTCCAGGAAGAAACAATGAATAGAGAAACGATTTTCTAGTTTCCTTTGCTAGTACCGTACTCCCAATTTATGAATTAACGTGAATTTCAAGTTTTGTAATAGGGAGTAAATTCAGTTATATAGCTACGGTTGTAGCTCATAATATGACTATACTAATTAACTATATCTTTAGAACATCTTGAACATAAAATTCTGAACACACACACACACACACACACACACACACACACTAATTTGCTGAAGCTTTTATTTTAGCAATTGGCTTTCCAGAACTTTTCCAACCAAGAGAGTTAAATGAGATCTCAATCTTTAAGAGGACTTCACACATTCAATCCTCAGTATGTTAAGTAATACCATTTTAAATTTATTAAACAGATTATTTTGTAGCCATGCCTTGCTTCCTGTTCTGCCTGCATTAACACATCAGTATGTATCTCACACATCTATGGAGAGTTATTTTTCACACAGAATACTTCTTCAATCCATAGGCATTTCATTGTGTCTGAGGAGTTTGTGTGTATCCCAAACAATAGTCTTTTTCTATCCTTTGAAAGGTTCTCTGCCTAATGGCAAAGAACTGTTAATTCAGTGCCAAATGAAGTAGAATTATCCTCCTCTGCCTACCACATGACTGAGTGGCTCCTGTCAAGGGAACGGAGTCATCTCTGGTGATTGGAGACCACATGGGATCCATTCGATCTCAATGCTGTCTATTATGTGACAAGACCAAATTACAAAGACATCCCTCAACCCTCCAACCTCACATGTCATGGGAAAATAAGAGGCTCTTCATTATAATTTATATTATGAATGCCGTTACTGTAATTTTAAAAAATAATCTATAGCAAGATGACTAACACGTGTTACCTTTCTCAATCAGAACTGCGATTTGTAGAATATGAAACTTACGGTATGTCTTAGAAGAAAATAAATGGGCAAATTGACGTGTACACATGAAAGAAAAGAAAACATAGACTCACTGGCTTCACCAGTAAAGCAAGAATGTTTAGAAATAGTCAGATGTGTCTTTGAGAGAGTTTGCTTAATCATATGTTTAAAGTAAGACGAGTCTCGGCATGAGACTGAGAAATCTCCTAGGAGCAGCCGGATTCCACACTGAGACACAACAGAGTGCTGGGCTCTGCTGTATTTTGGAGAAGGAAAAGCGGGTGCTGAGAGCTAAGTAGCCAATTACTTTTTATAGCCCCATAAGGACTGGAGGCAAGTAGTCCCTTCCAACAAGTTGTATTATGCGATCACTGGCTTCGCAGGGAATCTCACGAATGTATAACCTTATGATTGCCTTTTTGATTGAAAGTTCCATCTGAGATCAAGGCAGTGCAACCAGTAATAAGATTTCAAAAAAATCCCATCTCTGGCACTGTCGGAAAGGTTGAGCATGACTGAAATCCTATCATTGCCAGTCAAAAAGATAAGGTAACAGTGGGCAATCCTATAAAGGCTGTATAAATGCACCATTTAAACATGAATATCAACATTGGAAAGAATATACACACATTTATGGATCAATAGACACACAGTCAACATCTACGCCATACCAATCCACAAAGACATAAGTGAATGTACACACATAATTAAATTCCTAGAGATAATTGATATTTGTTTGTTTTCATTTTACAAACTCATAGACTGCCAAAATTCTGGAATGATGGCTTTTTGTCTTCCTGAATCTCTCCTTGAATTTAAAAGCAATTGGATTGAGAGTTGAAAGGATTTAAAATCCAGAGCTCTCATTTGTGAACATAACTGGGATAAAAATTAAATACCTTGGGCTGGGAAGGTGGCTCAGTGGTAGAGCACTTGCCTTGCATGCTCGAGGCCCTGGGTTCAATTCCTCAGCAAAACATAAGCAAAAAGAAAAAAGCCGGAAGTGGCGCTGTGGCTCAAGTGGTAGAGCGCTAGCCTTGAGCTGAAGAGCTGAGGGACAGTGCCCAGGCCCAGAGTTCAGGCCCCACAAGTGGACCTCCCCCCCAAAAATTAAATGTCTTGTGTGATGAAGCTGGATTTTGATGTTTATGCATCAATTTTATGGAGAAAATAACTGCAGAATATAGTTGATGGGAAATAGTTTTACTATAGATTTTTATATTTCTACATTTTCGATATACCTTTACTTCCTATACAAAGTGCTTTGCAATGTTACTTAGTAGGCCAAATAGAATTGAATATAATGTTTGATTGGTAGTTGGTGTTTTTATAATTATAGAAGCTAATGTGTATTATTAGACATTTGCTTTTTTATCATTTTATTCATTTATTCATTAAGCAATCTACTCTTGATATTTAATGTATTTTGGTCCTAGTGTTTAGGACCAGGTCCTAATATTATAGGGAA